CTCCCAGTGTCCCCGTGTGTCTCCCAGGGTCCCCGCGTGTCTCCCAGAGTCCCCACGTGTCTCTCAGGGTCCCCGTGTGCTTCCCCATGTCCCAGGTATCTCTCAGGGTCCCCGCGTATCTCTCAGTGTCCCCACATGTCTCTCAGCATCCCTGCTTGTGTCTCAGCGTCCTGCGTGTCTCCCAGGGTCCCCACGTGTCTCTCAGTGTCCTCGTATGTGTGTGTTTCTCTCCCTCCAGGTTTATTTTGCCGTTTCCTCTACTGTCTGGCTGCGTCCACGGGAGAGACTCGTGTCCTTGGACACGTTAGCTCCTCAGCCCTTCACCCTGACCTTTCAGGCATTGTGCCGCCTGACCAGACTGGGGACTGGGGTCTTGGTGCCCTTCCACCTGGCCTCCGCTCCTGGCACAGGTCCCTCACCTCACTGTGCTCTTTTCCGCTGCCCAGGAGACGGAGAAGATCATAGCCGAGCTCAACGAGACCTGGGAAGAGAAGCTGCGGCGGACGGAAGCCATCCGGATGGAGAGGTGGGTGGCGGGGAAACCGAGGACTCCAGCGCTCCAGCCCGGGCCCGCTCCTGGGGGTGGCCATGCCCTCTCACCCGGTGACTCTTGCCCCGTCACCAATGGCCCCACCGACCTGATCCCTGATCAGGAGACCAGTCCCTCCAGCTGGACACCTCCACTCTCTGACCGGATGGGACGCCACCCGGGCTCCGCCTCGGGCCGAGTGGCCAGAGCCCACGGCTGACTGGTCGGTTGGGGGCCAGGCAGGTCCCGCGGCCTCGAGGCTCGAGCTGACCCAGACACCGTCCCCACAGGGAAGCACTGCTGGCCGAGATGGGCGTGGCCATGAGGGAGGACGGCGGCACATTGGGTGTGTTTTCTCCAAAAAAGGTAGGTGCTCTTTCTAGCTCCGGGGTGCAGCCCTGACTGGGACAGGGCCGGGCGGCCCACAGCCCTTTGTGAGGTGTCAGCTCCTCTGGGAGGAGAGGGGACAGGTCCAGGCACCGGGGGCCACGCTCGGCCACAGCCACACCTCCCCAGCGTGGGAGACACCCTCTTGGAGCTCAGCCAAAGTCAGGTCTGGCTATCCCAGCTGGCACTCAAGTCTTCTCCCGCCCGGGCCCACCTCGCTCACGGGACCTGGCACCGTCACTAGGGGGGCCTTCAGAGCACTGTCCTCCTCAGTAGCTCAGGTGGGGCACAGCACGAGCGTTTGGGGAGAAGTTGTCTCTGATAATTCTAGGACCAGACCCCCCACCCACCCCAAAGAGTGCCAGAGCCTCGAGCCCTCAGGAGCTCCGTTCTAAGCCGGGGAGCCTCCAAGGAGGTGGTGGCCGTGTGTTCTGACCACAGCTCCGGACTCTCTGGGCCCTGCCCTCGATACTTTGTTAGTGAGGAAGCTCCTGCCCGCCTTCTTGGGAGCATCTTCGTGTGGCTGGCCCCTCACCCTGGCTCTGTCTGGGACGGCGGGTGCTCTGTGCCACCAATGCCCAAAGCCAGACACACATGGAGCCCCCACGGTGCCGTCGGGGACCCTGTGGGAAGAGATGTGTGGACGACGGTGTGATGCGTGCATCGGCCAGGTGTCCGCTCCTTGGGGACAGGGACAGGCTCCTCGGGCTTCTTCCGCCTTCGTGCGCTCCAGGCCGGGGGGCGGGGGGGGGGGGGGGGGCCGCAGTGGGGAGGCGCCGGGGGGGGGGGGGGAGTGCTTGCAAGGACTCTGGGCAGGCTGAGAAGCAGGTCACACCCTGCTTCATGTGCCTTCTGGAGAGGCCTTGAGTTTTCCTGGGGAAACTTGCCCCTTCCCGGAGGGTGGGGTGTACCCCGGGGCTGTGGGAGCAGGTGCTCTTGGGACACTTGGCACCCTGGTGCCTTTGGTTGGTGGCCCCGGATCTGGGCAGTGCCCAGGAGTGGGAGGATGGCCCTAGGGACCGCCGAGGACACCTCCTTCTGAGAAGGGCAGCATTCCTGGGACTCTGGGGAAGTGCCCGTGCCAGCTGGACCCCTCTACTCAGCCCTGCAGGGCGAGCACCGTTCCCCTTGCTTGGGAGAGGGGGCGGTTGGGGACCGCTGTCCCCAGTGTCTGATGACCAGGACTTCACAGCCCCGCACAGGAGCGTTGGTGGTGCATCGTGGGATTTATAGCTTAAAGTGGAGGCGGTTTATTCCAAGGTGCCAAGCGGGAAACCGAGGCAGCTGTCCCAGCCTCCACCATGTTGCAGGACCCTGGCCTGGGACACAGTCAGGGGTGGCGTTCCTGAGCTCAGGAAGCATGTCTAGGGCCCCAGTGCCCTGGGAGGGAGGCAGGTTGCGGAGGGCAGGGCAGCTGGCGGGTGCTGGTCGCCTTTGGTAGGCCCGTGGACAGGAGAGCGGGTCCGAGCTGGGTGGTTCAGCAGGGACTTCCTTTACAAGCTGTGCTCCAAGCCCCCAGGCCAGATCCCTCCCTGGCTAGTGTCCTAATCCTTCTGGACTCTCAGATCCACTGGGACCTCAGCTCCTGGGCACTTCAGTTGGATTGAGGGCCTGTAGCCCCCTTGTAGGGTGGAGCAACAGACCCAGAGCCTGGTGCCATGGGCCCCGCAGGACCCGGCCTGCGCCCTGCACATCTGAGGGCCCGCCACAGCCCTCAGAACCCCTAGGTTCCCAGCTCCGCTGAGCGCCTACTGCCTGGTTCTGAGCTCCCTGGGCTCCTCACGGGAGCCAGGCCGGGAGGACACTGTGTCCCCAGGAGGCCAGGCCTAGGCTGGTGGCGGTCTGGCACCTGAGGAGAGACAGGTCAGGTGCGCGTCAGTGCTGGGCCCTGGCGCCTCCCCAGGAGAGGTGACCCTCCTTTCCCCCCAGACACCACATCTCGTCAACCTGAATGAGGACCCGCTGATGTCCGAGTGCCTCCTGTACTACATCAAGGACGGGATCACCAGGTGGGGGTCGTCAGGGTGGGGCGGGCTCCCTGGCAGAGAGGCCGCCAAGCCTGGGTATGTGCTGCAGCATTGCTGTCCCCGTGATGGCTGCTGGAGACAATGCCCAAGGCCACCCTGGGCTACGTGGCTCTCCCGGGCGGGGCGGCGCTTGGGGCATCCCTGTGGGGATGCGTGGGCAGGCCAGCGGGTGGCGGCACGGGTGCGCTGGGTCCTGCCAGTGCTGACGTCCCCCGCCCCTCCCCAGGGTGGGCCGGGAAGATGCGGAGAGGCGGCAGGACATTGTCCTGAGTGGGCACTTCATCAAGGAGGAGCACTGTGTCTTCCGGAGCGACTCCCGGGGCGGCAGCGAAGGTACCTCTGCCCTTCAGTTCCCACCTCTGCTCTGGCGCCACTGACTGTCAGGCCTGAGCAGGGCTGTGGGTCAGCCCTCACTCCTTACTCCGTCCCGGCAAAGCCCTTCCGTTACAACGGTGTTCTGAGGGCTTGGCTGTGGACGCGGGAGCTCCCTCCCCACGCCGCGAGTGCTCTGGGGGGTCTCCGTGGGCCGGAGAATGGGGAGCCGTGAGGAATGAACCTCCATCCAGGCTGGAGGACTATTTTTACACCGCACTGTCCTGTTGGCTGTGGCGCGGCCATCTGTCCGTGTCCCCAGCCTGCCTGCCAGTCACCTCAGGGCGATGGCCTTGAGCAGGGTTGGGGACAGAATTCTGTCTCCAACGCCTGCCCTCCTCTTTGGGATGGGCACAAAGCTCTAGGGGGCTCTGGGACCCCTGGGGACACACTAGCCACTGTTTCCCATCCGTGCCCATCTGGTTCTCTGACTGGGGCAAAGGCACCTCCCCGTCGGGCGTCACCCTCACCTGTTGTATGGGGTGTAGCCCTCCTCTGGCTTCTCCAGGGCCCACACGATGTATTGTCTGGCGGCCATCAGGCTTTGCAGCTAGCAGGGATGAGAGAGGCCTGATGCGGGCCACACCTGGGCAGCCAGTTGAGCCGAGCCCTGCAGGCGGACAGAGGGCATGGCCACTCAGGATGACAGTCCCTCACTCTCTGCCCTCCCCATCTCTGTCATGTAGCCGTGGTGACCTTGGAACCCTGTGAGGGGGCAGACACATATGTCAATGGCAAGAAAGTCACGGAGCCCAGCATCCTGCGGTCAGGTATGGCTAGGGCCTGGAGACAGGTGTCTCTTTCTCCCCTGCAGTTTCGGGACTAGGCCTGGGGTCCACGCACTCAGGAGGATAGGCCTCAGCTCGGTGTCTCCTTCCTGGTACCTGGGCCCCAGGGCAGGGAGGACAAGTGAGGGTGACTAAATGAGGGTGGCTGGCCAAGGTGGCGGGGGAGGAGCTGAGGGAGGCTTTAGGGAGGACTCACCAGCAGACAGGGGCTGGTGTGGGAGGAGCTGAGCCTGCTCCGTGGGCCCTGAGTCGGAAGGAAACTAGGCTGTCCAAAGAGCCCTTGTAGGCAGGACTGTCCAAGACGGTGGGTGCTACAGCCCTGGTGGACGTGTCTGCCTGGAGGGTCCTGCAGACCGGGGGACCCTGGCCCTGGGCACATACAGACGGGGGGCCCTGGCCCCTGCCCTGCTTCCATCGAGGTGGGTACTGAGGGGAAGGGCCCGTGAGCCCGTGCTGCAGCATCCTGCAGGGTGGGGGTGGGGGCACACACAGCCCACAGGTGTGGAGGAGTGGCCAGGGCCAGGGCCTGGGGGCAGGAGACCAGGCTGGCCTGGGGGTGACGTGTGGGCTGTGCGCAGGACCGCACGTTGGAGAAATCCCCAGGACTGTTTTGCAAACATCACTGGCTGCTGTATATTGGGGGGGTGGGGGGGGTGGGGGTGGTGAGGGGGTGGGTCTGGGGAGAGAGTCAGGTCCCGGCCACGGGGTAGGTGGCTGCTGGTCCGGAGCCGACCCGGGTGGCTCCTGGTGGCCCTCCCTGGGGCGGGCCAGCCTGGGGGACCTGCCCGTGCTCCACTTTTCCCGTCTTCCCGCCCTGACCCCTTGAGGCCACCCCCAAGGCCACAGGCTACCCCCTGATGGCCGGCCTTGCTTCTGTCCCCCAGGAAACCGCATCATCATGGGGAAGAGCCACGTGTTCCGGTTCAACCACCCCGAGCAGGCACGGCAGGAGCGCGAGCGCACGCCCTGCGCAGAGACGCCCGCTGAGCCCGTGGACTGGGCCTTCGCGCAGCGCGAGCTGCTGGAGAAGCAGGGCATCGACATGAAGCAGGAGATGGAGCAGAGGTGAGGCCCGAGGCTGCGGGTCACCGCGCCCCCTCTTCCCCTGCGGCGCTCCATCCCCTTCCACCCCCACGCTGCGCCCGCTCACCCGCTCACCCGAGCCCGCTCCCGCTCCCCCTCCCGCAGGCTCCAGGAGCTGGAGGACCAGTACCGCCGTGAGCGAGAGGAGGCCACCTACCTGCTGGAGCAGCAGAGGCTGGTGAGGGCGGCCCGCCTGGGCGGCGGCCGGGAGGGGGGTGCATGAAGGGGCCGGGCCGGGGGTGGGGGAGCCTGAAGGGGTCAGGCCCGGGGGCGGGGCGTGAAGGGGCCCGGCCTCCACGTGGGCCCACACTCCTCCCTCCGTGGCCAGGACTACGAGAGCAAGCTGGAGGCCCTGCAGAAGCAGATGGGCTCCAGGTGCTTCTCTGAAGCGAACGAGGAGGACGAGGAGCCGGAGGACGAGGGTGAGAGGCTCGGGGGGGGGGGGGGGGGGGGGGGGCCCCGCCTCGGGGCCGGGGCCGGGCGGGGTCTTGGGCACGAGGAGCCCCCAGGCGCCTGGTCGGCGCCTTTGCCCTCGGGGTCCCCGGCCCGCCCCTCAGGGAGCGAGGCCTCCTTGTCCCCGGGAAGCACCCACGGAGGCAGGATTTGGGGGAGGCTGCGCTGCAGCGGGAAAGCGCAGGCGTGTGCTCGTGCAGTGTGTTCACACAGGCGTGTGCTCGCTCACGCAGGTTATGGCAGGAATGGCCCAGGTGGTGGGGAGCACGGTACGGGCAGGGTGTGGTGTCTGCTCGTCCGCCCTGCCGTGTGTCCCGCCTGCACAGGCTGGTGCTCTTTCCCAGGACTAGGTCACCGCTCCTCACCTCAGGACCCCCTTTCCAAGCATCAGCTTGGGCAGCCCCCCCTGTGACAGGGGGAGGACCTCACATTGCTGTGGGGCACGAGGGCGGCCCACAGGCAGGGCAGATGGGGTGGAGTCAGGCACAGGATGCGCGTCCAGCTTGACCCCTCTGGTCAGCACCTTTGTGTAGATGTGACTTTGGCCTCCTGTTGCCTGGAATCATCTTCCCTCGGGGCAGGAGCCCTGGATGAGAGGGGCGGAGCCTGGGAGCCTGGACAGGCCCCTCCTGGTGTCCCTGCTCCCTTTCTCTTGGGGACACAGTAGACAAAGGTGTGTGAGCTGGGACAGGGTGGGAGGTCACTGTGCTCTCTTGCCTGTCCTGTGAGCATGTGGCCCCAATGCTGCTCCCTCCCCCCGCCCCCAGCCCCACTGGGCTTCTCTGACTCTCAGAATGTCCGGTTCTGGTCAGCCCCTCTGGGGCACATGGAGCCTTCAGGCCGCCCCCCGGGGCGGATCCTTCTGTGGGTTTCCTTCCCTCCAAGAGCCCGAGACAGTTAGTGCAGAAGTGGGGGCCCCGGGCCAGAGGGGTAAGGTGGCATTTCCGTGACGACCGCACATGCCTGTCCCCGCAGTCCAGTGGACGGAGAGGGAGTGTGAGCTGGCGCTGTGGGCCTTCCGGAAGTGGAAGTGGTACCAGTTCACGTCTCTGCGGGACCTGCTGTGGGGCAACGCCATCTTCCTCAAAGAGGCCAATGCCATCAGCGTGGAGCTCAAGAAGAAGGTGGGCCCCCACCCCGCCGCCCACAACCCGGGCCCCGTACAGCCGTGGGCAGAGCGAGGGAGGCCCGGGGACGGACCCAGGAGAATGCGCACCCTCCCTGCCCCGGGAGCAGCCGGGGTGCGAGTACAGCTTCCCCTCCGGCTGCCGGCTGGAAGGTTCCGGTGAACCCTGTGGGGCGTGCAGCCCGGAGGTGGGGCCCGGCTCGCACACCCCCGGGGGCTGACGGGCGGCCGCCTCCTGCCGCCACAGGTCCAGTTCCAGTTTGTCCTCCTCACGGACACGCTGTACTCCCCACTGCCGCCGGACCTGCTGCCCCCAGAGGCTGCCAAAGAGCGGGAGACACGCCCCTTCCCGCGCACCATCGTGGCCGTGGAGGTCCAGGACCAGAAGAACGGGGCCACCCACTACTGGACGCTGGAGAAGCTCAGGTGTGGTGGGCAGGCCGCGAGGGGGGGCGGCAGGGGTGGGTGCGGGTTCGCGGCGCTCCTGCGTCCCTGCGCTTCTCTCCTGCTGGAGTTGTTTTTACAGTCAGAAGGCAAAAGCGTTAGCGTGGAATCGGCGTTCTCCTCCTACGGATGCAGCGGTCAAGTGTACCGCGCTTCCATGGAGGAAGGGGCGGATGAGGTTGACGGTGCTGCAGGAAGGCGGGCGGGGGGCCGGCAGGGCACGCCGGGCGGACATGTCCTCAGAAGAGCTCGGCAGCTGCAAGCCTCTCCGCCCTGGGGCTGTAGGGATCCCAGGGGAAGACAGGGACGAGGGTCCCGGTGACGGCCTGAGGGGGCTGGGCTGGGGGCGAAGCTGTCCCTGCGAGAGGCGTCTTTCCTCCAGCTCCGCCTGCACCCTCCCCGCGTGCTCGTCCCCACGTGTGGCTCTTACCTGAGAAAGGGGACTGAGTGAGGCGCAGGCGATGCCGTCCAAGGGAAGTCGAACAAGCGCTGCTCGAGGTGCCCCAGACGTGAGGCCCCTGCACGTAGGCCGAGCCAGGGTGGGCGGGAGGGAGCGCAGGCCATCAGGAGGGAGACAGGAGCAGAGCAAGCGAGTCCGCGGCCTCCGTGCGGGTCTTCACGCCCTGGGCAGGGCAGGGCCAACCGCTGGGACCGTCCGGTTTGAATTTCTCTGGAGGGCTTTGGCACACAGAGCCTGCCCCTGGCTGCCGAGTCCCTGGCTCTAGGGTGATTTCAGGCAGGGGGTGCTGGCTTGGCGTGAGTCAGACAGGTGGGTGGCGGGGGTGAGGGGTGGTTTCGGTTTCCTTGTGAGAGGTGGGCTCACTCAGGACTTATCCACTGTCTACAGGAACCGACCGGCCCAGCCAGCAAGGCCCCACAGATGTCCCGACACCCTAAAATACAGAGAAGGAAAGCTGTAAAAATACACAGTCCTACCCAGACACTCCCGCACACACCCTCACACACTCACAGTCGCCCGCACACCTCCTTTCTCGCATGGCTCGCTCACACGCTCACACACACGCTGGCACGCACGCGCGCGCACACAGGTAAACGCGCTCTCGTAAGATTCATGCGAGTAGATGCGCACGCTCAGGGCCCCCCACCCAGGGCCCCCCACCCTCCCCGGGGCCGCGCTGTGGCGGGGACGAGCCCGTTCCTATCGCCGCTGAGCCCTACCGGGAAACGATTTCGTTCCCATTCTTCCACAACTTGTTGGTTTTCCTGGGGATAATACTTTTTGAAATGTGTCATGTTTCTGTATCCCGTCACCGATTTGCCGTCCCTTCCCTTGAGCTTTCAGGGCTCTGTGACGGGATCCCCCACCCCGAGCGTCCCCGCCGTGGCTCTGGCCAGAGCCCTCTCCGTTTCCCCTCCAGTTCCGGGCCCATCCTGCCTGCACAGATCACGTGGTGTCCCTGGGCCAGCATCGAGAGTATTTAGCACATGCTCACCTGGAGGTCTCCTTGCTCACGGTTGACAGATTGCGAGGACCGCGCGGGGCCTGTCAGCAAACCACGCTGAACCCCGGATGACGCTGAACTGTGGCCGGAGCCGGGTGGAGCCTGCTGTCCCCAGCAGCAGAGGTGTGCCGTGCCGGCCGCTCGCCCAGGCCCACAGTGATCCCTGTTCCCCTGCAGGCAGCGCCTGGACCTGATGCGGGAGATGTATGACCGGGCCGCGGAGGTGCCCTCCAGTGTCATCGAGGACTGTGACAACGTGGTGACTGGCGGAGACCCCTTCTACGACCGCTTTCCCTGGTTCCGGCTGGTGGGCAGGTGGGCGCCTCCTTCCCTCCCTGGGCTGAGAGAGAGAGAGAGAGAGAGAGAGAGAGAGAGAGAGAAGGTGGTAGGGGCAGGGAGTGGGTGTCCTCCTAAGGCCGAGCGCCCTGGCTGGGCCCTGGCCCTGACATGAGGAGGGAGCCATCGAGAGGCCCTTTCCCACCTTGACGTCCCTGACCTCGTCCTTCCTGGGTCCGAGGCACCCTGCCCCAGCCACTCCTGTCCACAGACCAGTGGGCCCTATAATTTGGGGACCGGGAAGGGGAGGGAGTCTCAGTGTCACCACCTACACCTGCTGCGGGGCTGTGGCCGCCGGGTTGCACGTGTCCCCGCGTGTGAATGTGTGGCTCGGTCAGGCTGAGTGACCTGGTCCTCACACGACCTCAGCCACACCTGGCGAGGATCACGCCAGTGGCTACTTTCCAGAACTTTCGGTGACCTTCCCCTGAGCACACGTGTGGTTTCTTTCCAAGCCTGGGGACGGGATGCACTTTTGGTTCTCGTGTCTTTTAAAGCAGCATTCCTGACGGTCTGTGTGTTTGGTTTTGGTTTAAACAGAAGCCCCCACCCCCGCCCTGTCCGTCCCCGCGAGTAGCTGGTGTTAACTTCTCTCTGTCTTGTCGCACTAACCTCAGTTCAGTCATCTCTGGCTGCAACAGCTACCCTCTTCTCAACACATGCATGAGCGAGCGCATGGCTGCTCTCACCCCCTCCCCCACCTTCTCGAGCCCCGACTCCGACGCCACCGAGCCTGCCGAGGAGCAGAGCGTGGGGGAGGAGGAGGAGGAGGAGGAGGAGGAGGAGGATCTGCAGGACGACGTCTTTCCGGAGCACGCGCTGTGCGACGGCCGGGACCCGTTTTACGACCGGCCCCCCCTGTTCAGTTTAGTAGGAAGGTTGGTGAGGTCGAGGACGGCATGCTGGGAAGGAACCAGCTCTTTTGCGCAGGAGCACTGCTGCGGGCACAATTTGACCGCCGTCAGGGCGTGACCCCCGAGCAGAGGGTGTGAGGGAGCGAGAGGACTCCTGGCCATCCTGGAGTGTGCCCAGCAGGGAGAGTCGGGCCCCAGTGTCAGAAGAGGTGGTGCTCCCGGAGCACGGCCGTCCGGCGCTGTGTGGTGGAGCTGTGTCTACAGACAGGCCCTGGAACCCGGGAGGAGTCCCCGAGCGGGGCCGCTGGGGGGCATTTGGGAGAGTGGGGGTTTGCGTCTGTGCACCCACCACTGGCTGTAGCGGCCTCACTTCCCTCTGCCTCCTCGTGCTATTGACCTGCTACTGACCAATAGCTCCCCGCTGGGAGAAGGAGGCCACCCTGGCCGGGGGTGGGGGGGGTGGGTGGGGGGGGGAGGAAGAGCTGGCAGGGGAGGGTCTGCCTCTGAAGCCGGGGCCCAGGTGGACCTTGCCTCTCCCCGAGCCTCTCTCCATCTGAGAGTGAGGACGGTTCACTCCTCCTGACCTCCCAGCCGTCATGGCGAGAGAGGGCACACGTGGCCCTGTGCCCTCGAGGAAATGCCCTCGGCAGAGAGGGCTTGTTACACTTTCTGGATGGAAGAGGGAGGCCGAGGTCAGGAGGTGGAGCGGAGGCCCCGGGGAAGCCCAGACCCCACAGGCAGATTGGGCAAATGCAGCTGCCATTCATGTTTTTTACTCCCATGGAATGGAGGCAAAACAGAGGAAGGAAAGATCTAGAAACTTAGCTGCTGTAGTAAGGCACTCAGCTCATTTTGATTTTACGTATAGAAAAAGCACAAGAGGGTTTCAACAGCAGCCTTTTCTGAGTCGGAGACGGCTTTCGTGGGCTAGGCCAATGGGAGTTTCTGCAGGTTTTGACCTCGGAGCCCCAGTACTGGAAGCTGAAGGCCGAGGCTGGCCCCCAGATAACGGGTTCACACTAGGAGCCCCTGGGCGCAGACGCTGGACTGAAGGCCCACCAGCTTCTCCTGGAAGGAAGCAGCTCCCCACGGGCGCATGTCGTGGAGTCCTTCGACTAGCTTTCCGTGGGTGAGGCGTGCTGGCCTGCTCCATAAACACGTGGGCTCTCGCCCTCCGAGATGCCCTGGGTCTGGGCCTCCCGCTCCGCTGAGAGTGGGGTGTAGCCCCGGGGCCGGCTCCACGCAGGCCTCTAGAAAGCCCTGGGCGGCTCCGGTGTCAGGTAGGCGTGGGCTCAGGGCGCAGGGGAGCGAGGGCACCGGGAGAAACGGGGTGTGAGCTCTGCAGTCTCAGCCACAAAGAGCTGGGTCCTTCCAACACTTTCCCCCTTCTGTGGATCTGAGATGTTACAAACAACCAAATCAAACCAAGTCGTCAGCGAGAGGCCAGCCCCCCCTACGGCGGGCCGTCTGTGTAGGGCTTCATCTGGAAATGTCCCGATCTTTTTGGTTTGGCAAGAATTGGCTTCTCCCGCGCAGCAGCTGTGCAGGCCCAGGCCCTGAGAAGGACCCCATCTTTGGTTTCCTTTTATCCTTCTGGTAGCTGCTGGCTCTCTCTCTCCAAAGCTTAAGCAGAATTGGGGCACCCACTCTTGTCTCCCTTTGGAAAGGCTTTCCTGGCCCCAGCATGCGTCTCTGCACCTCACCAACCTCGTGGTTTTAGCCCTGCCTCCTCCCCTCCCGCCGCACTCAGCCCTGGCTCTGCCGCTCTGCCGTCTCCTCTCTCTCCGGGCGGGTTTCAGCCTGCTTCAAGGTGCCCTCACCCCTGTGGACGGGCCCCCCCCCCAGGCTGGGGGGCTCCTCACCCACGGCCAGGGTTAGCCCCCCAGTGGCCTCTCCCTCTGGTGGTCTGGGGTGCGAGGTGAAGGAGGGAGGTGGGACGGGCTGACCCAGGCAGCAAAAGTGGCCCCGGGGGCTCTGGTTCCCCCCTCCCCCAAGAATGCTCCCTGCCCGGAACGTCGCTTTCAGTAGCTGGATGGGCAGGGAGCCCCAGAGAGGAGGGCGAGGGGCTGGCAGCCAGGGATGGAGGGCCCGGGGACGGGTGGCGGGGCGGCGTGAGGCGGGACCGTCCGAGGGGAGTGTTCCAGGCTCTGCGTGGGAGGATTCTGACTTGCTGCGCGTCCGCATCGTGTCACCTGGGCTGGCACGGCCAGTGCCTCGGCTCCCAGCTGGGGGCCCTCCGTGTCCCGGGCCAGCAAGGCCGTGAGCCCCTCTGTGCAGCCGGCGCACCGTGGCTGGCGGGGCCCGCGGGGCGGTGCTGAGGCTGTTCTAGCCCCTTTGCTGACGGACGCTGATGTCGGGCCGTCTGGCGCGTGTAGGGCTGTGGGGGGGAGGCCGGCGTCTGTACCAGGGTCCTATTCCCTCACGTCCGGGGTTCTGTCGGCCAGGGTGGGCTCTGCCTGGGCCGTGGGCTCTTCCAGCCCTGGCTTGTGGAGACCTTCCAGGCTGTGCCGCCACTAGGTGGTGGCTGCTGGGCCCCAGGGGTTCCTTCTGGCCGAACGTGCCCATCACCGTGTCAAGATTAGGTCTCGGGGATTAGGGGCGGCAGGAGGGAGAGAGGGCCCAGCGGCCGGCACCGTGCTCTCTTTTGCCTTCTGGGAGCGTCCCAGCTGGGTGCCCCAGGGGACTGTGTGCATGTGCTTTAGCCACTGCTGGGTTACGAAGCTCAGAGAGGGGCAGAGGGGTGGCCGTGGACCCCCGCGGCCGACCTCATTATGTGGTCCTGCACCTCCAACCAGGGGGCACCTCGAGGCCCCCACCCCTGGGCAGCCCCGCCTCCGGGGAGCACATCGAGGCTGCATTTGTCTAATGGTTTGAAGTTGGAAATGGCAGTTTTTGATGCCACGGGTGTTCGGATGTTTTTTCGCTCCCGACGGGAAATCCTAAGTTGATCTAGTTAATTAGCCGATCGAGCTGGTGGGCGGGACGATGGTGTCTACCTAGTAGGGCTAGGAGCCAGCCTGTGGGTTTAAACCCCAGCCGGGGCCTTAGCTCCCAGCCCGAGGCACTTCCGCCTCTGTCTTCGTGCCTCAGTTTTGGGTCTGGGAGATGGGTACCGACAGCTCTAAGGCGAGGAAGGTGCAGGTGCTTGAACTGAGACGCGTCGTGGGTGAGGAGGACACACGTGCTGCCCGGGGCCGTGGAGGCACCGCTGTGTCAGTGCTGGCCCCTCGTGAGCTCAGAGGCACGGGCTCCCAGGATGGCTTCACGACTTTTCCACCCACCAACGGGGTGATTGTGGCCTCGGGCGCACGAGAGGCCCAGCCCCAGCCGGCGCGTGGGAAACCTCAAATCTGCACGATGCTACAGGTTCTTGAGCCCGTGGATTGGCAACATGGCAGAAAGCGTCCACCCTGAAGACGGCGAGGGGCTTTGTGCCATGAGGCCCTAAGGACAGAGCCAGGACTGGGCATGCCTGCCCTGACCTGGGCCCGGCCCTGCCCTCTGCCTCGGTCTCCCTCTGTCCTGGCCTTTGTTAGGGACAGGGGAGGAGAGTCCAGAAGCGGGGGAGCACAGACCCTGAGAGCTCAGAAGGGGGTAGGGATCACCTCTGGGGTGCTGTGAGCGGTGCTCTGGATGGCCCCGGAGCCCAGAGCCAGCCCCCGTGGAATGGTCCCCAGAGCCTTCTAGGAAGACACTCCTGGCTTTGAAGTGGCCTGGGTGGGAACAACCTTCAGCTCTCCTTCCCGGAGGCTATAGTGGCTGAGGACCCTGGTGCCGGGCACTGTGCCCTCACAGGCCTGCGGTGGGAGGTGCTCCTCCGCTTCTGAGGGCCCTCCCGTTGGTTCCTTGGCAAGTATCGATGGGGCTGGGCAGGCCGCGGCCCCTGCGTCTGTGCCCAGGGCCCCTGGGGGCCTCCTCTCTGCCTCCCAGCACGGGGCTTTCTGCAGTGGGCCCTGCGCTGGGAGATGGGGTGGGGGCTGACTTGAGGGCCCTGCAGCTGGGGGCTGTCCTGCTTGGTCCCCTTAGCTGTGTCCAGAGTGGTGGGCTGGCCAGACGGGGGCCCAGTCAAGGGGGCAGAGCAGGGTCGGGACATGTTCCCGCAGCCTGAGTTCCGGGCTCCCTCTGCTTCCCCCTCTGGACCTCAAGGCTTCGCTTTCTTTCGTGGCCACCCCCTTCATGCACCCTCAAATTCAAGCAAAGGCCCTTGGCCAGGATTCCGGGGGCCCAGGGAGGGCAGCCCAGCACTGTCCCTGTCCGGAAGTGAGTGCTGCGAGAGGCTCACCAGCCAGCCCCGGCCAGACCCTGTCAGAAGCAAGGGGCTTCTGCTCTCTGAGTCTCGGTTTCCTTTTGTGACCAGGGCCATGGCTGGCTTTTGCCGACAGCTTCCGTGCCTAGTCTTGCTGGGTGGCCAGGGGCAGGAGAGCCCCCGCCCCTGTCGCAGTCAGGCAGACCTACCTGCACCGTCCTCAACACAAATGCTTTTCAGTGATGAGTTCCCCTGGGACAGCCCTCCCCTGGGGCATTCTCAGAGAGGGCACCTTGCTGACGAAGAGAAGGGCTCCACAAAGCCATCAGGGGCTTCCCCTGCCCCAGCGGGACATCCGGGCCCCGGAAGGCAGTGAGCCCTTTCCTCCAGCTGGTGCCTGTCTCGGCCTGGGGGGTGCCCAGGGAGCAAGAGACACTTGGCAGAGACCGCCCCCCCCCGCAGGTTGGGACAGATGGCTCTGAGGAGATACGTGACATGGGGGCTGGGAACAGAGAGGAGGACAGGCCTCACTTGTGGAGGGAGCGGAGAGCACCGGGGTTGCCCCGGGACCGAGGGGGTGGCTGGGCGGTAGGGCTAACGGTGAGGCAGGAGCTTAGCTGGCATCGAGGGTGTGTGGGAGTCTGGTCAGAACCCCAGGCCCCGTCTGGCTGCTGTGGGGGCCGAGGGGGAAGCAGCTGGGTGACAGGTCCTCCGCAGAGGACCTCTACGTTTGAGGGAGAGCTGACGCATTTGAGAGCAGAGCCAGGACGCTGCTCAGGTTTCTAACCTTCTGTAGGCAGAGGTCCGGCAGGAGTGGGGGGGGGACAAGATCTGGAGCCCACACGAGAGAGGGGCTCCGGGGTCTGGAATCAGGCCCCTGGGGCACAGCCCTTCCCCACGCCTGTGGTCACAGGGGCTCCTCCAGGAAATGAGGCACGGGGCGAGACCAAGGGGCTCAGCCTGGGTGGTGTCTGATCTCTAAGCAAGCTAAGAGGGGTCGGGGATGTGGTGACACCTCTCCTCCCCCTCCTCCCCCTCCTCCTCCCTGGCCTCCTCCCCCTCCTCCTCCTCCCAGCTCAGCCCTGGGCCGTGCATCTGGGTGCCAGCACCCACATAGCCTTCAGACTGTGACCTTCCCTCCCCCCCCTCCCCCACTTTCCCTATTGCTCTCACTTCTGTCCTCACTGTGTTCTCCCCGGCTGAAGCCCTGGGACTCCCTTGCCCCATCTCTACACCTGCTCCCCCACACCTCCTGCCCATCCTCGCCCAAGCTCTCCCCCTCCCCTGGGATCCCCCACTGCCCCAAGATCCCCCCTGGAAGCCCGGGGCTATCGAAATCTGCACCTCCGAGCTGGGCCCAGTGCCGGTCATGCCGGGAGGGAAGGGGAGGGCCGGGCGGGAGGCAGGTCCTGCGCCGATGTGTGAGCGGAGCTGCGGGTTCTCACCAGATGGGCCACGTGGGCCGCCTTCCCTGTGTCAGGTGTCCCCTCGGGACGGGTGCCCCCGACCAGGGAGGAATTTTGCTCCGCGTCAGCCTGCACACCTAGCTGCGTGGCACGGGTCTCCCAGAGTCCCCTCTGTCCGGGCGGCCCGTGCGACCTCTGTGCATTGGCCAGCTCCGGGAATTCGGTGGACACCTGGGCGACGTGGCCCCTCGCCGGCCTGGCCTGCCACTCGCTGGGTGCGCGGCAGAGCCACTCGGGATGTGAAGGGCTCTGGGCGCCCTGGGGGTGGCGGTGCCCTGTGGGCCGGGGCTGCTGCCCCGTCGGCTGCCACTGTGCGCTCCCACCCGCCGTGTTCCCCGAAGGGTCCGAGAAGGAACCGAGAGCTGTGTTAGGAGCCCTCTGTGGGGCCCCGAGGTCAGGGGTCACTGGGAAAGAGGCGGGAGGCAGGGGGATGCCGGGCATCAGTGCCAGTGTGAGGTCCTAGCTCGGCGTGGCCGGGTCCCCAGGTCCTCCTCCTCCTTGAAGCAGGCTGAAACCTCCCTCCTCAGCTCTGATAGCGGGTATGGCCCCGCGGGCTCCGCCCCGTGCCAGCCCCGCTCCGCGCTTCCTCTCTGCCCGCCCTGCGCACGCCCTCCTCCTCCTGTGTCCTCCGCGGCCCGTGGACCCCCCCCCCCAGCCCCCGCCCAGCACAGCCCTGTGTCCGTCCCGCCTGCTCGCTGCCCTGGCTGCCTTGCGCCTCGCTCTGCTTTGCAGTGTTGTGTCGTGAGCCCGGGCCGTGCTGCCGCCAGCGCCGCTCCGCGCGCACACTGGAGAGGCCCTGACCTCTGGCCTCTGCTTCCCCCAGGGCCTTCGTGTACCTGAGCAACCTGCTGTACCCCGTGCCCCTGGTGCACCGCGTGGCCGTCGTCAGCGAGAAGGGAGAGGTGAAGGGCTTCCTCCGCGTGGCCGTCCAGGCCACTTCAGGTGCGTGTGGGGCGGCCCGGGCGGAGGGCCCCGTGGGCACCACGCAGCGGCCGGAGCGCCACCGGCCGCCTCTGCGTCTCCGGTTCCCGGCCGGCACACGGCTGCTGGCTCCAGGAGAAGCCTCTGCTGCCCAGCTCTGCGCTCCAGCCTTCCAGACGCGCCCGGGTCAGGTCGGCCGGGGTCCTAGGAGACTGTGCGGGCCGAGCCCAGGGCTGTCCGAACCCGCTTCGGTTCGGGGGCCCTCCTCCCTCCCATTAGACAGCCCCAGGTGGACCCAGAGACCGACCGGCTCCAGACCCCAGCCTGGTGCGGAGCGGCCGCTCCCCGGCGGTCTCTGAGCCCAGCACAGGCGTGCAGACTGGAGCCCGGACCGGGGCCACGACAGCCCTCAGAGCCTCTCTCCAGACTCCCCAGTGTGCCCCGCTTGCGGGCCCCGTGGCCTCCCTGGAGCTGGCCTTTCTCCCCAGAGGGTGTGCACAACCCCCCTCACTGCGGGCCTGCAGAGGTGGACACCCTCTTGCCGCTGAGCCCTCCCCTCACCCCCCGGCCGGGGTCCCGGGACAGGAGAGCCACAGAATGCCTTTGAGTCTGGGTTTGCTTCCCTGTAAATGGCATCCCGTTTGAAGCTCCCTACCCAATAGGAGTGTCGAAAGATTGTTCCAGAACACAGATGTGGGCATGCTTAGCCACCAGAAAGCTGCAGGCCAGAGAGGGCCTAGTGTTCGTGCTCTAATGGCCGTTGCTCCCTTCTCTGCCCTCGGGCCCCCAGCCCCTCCACCGTGGCCTCCTCCTGTCTCCTCCCAGACTAGGTGGGGCTGGGCTGCTCCAGAATGCTCCAGCCACTGAAAGGGTCTCGAGTCACCCCACCCCACGTGAAGCCACTTCAGGCGGTTTTGGCTACACCTTTAGGATTCTTTTGTCAAATTCTCACTAGCCTGTAATTTCCGGATACTCTTTACAGCGCTTCCCAGTCATGTCACTGTGGTGCCGAGATCCCCTGGGGACCCTGAATGGGGGAAACAACAGAGGACGGGGATTCTAAGGACGTCTAGTGCCACAGCCGTTCCTCAAGGGGGACCCTGTCCCTGTCGTCTTGGAGGGGCTCTGTCCCCCTGAGCTCTTGGCCCTCTGTGACCAGCGGGAGCCCCGATGCAGCCGGTCCCACAGAGTGGCCTGCTTTATAGGCGGACGCTGTGTGTATTTGGGCCACACCTGACATTCCCTGTCTAGTGGCTACAATGGAGAAGGAGCCACTTGGAAAAGCTCCGGTGGTCACAGAAGTCACACCTGTCCTGCAAGTGTCAGCTTGCAGGACCCCTCAGCACCGAGTGGAGGGGCCGGCCCCGGGCCCTTGGGCAGCTGGGGTAGAGAGCACAGCAGGGTTTTGCCCCGTCCCCCTGGGGGCCCCAGAAGAGGAGGTCAGAGCCCCTGGATTATCTGAGAGGCCTCCCAGGGTGGGTGGCTGGATTTGGGGTTGGGGAGGCTGACGGAAGCCAGGTCTCGGGGGTGTCCCTTGGGAAACAGTGGGAAGGCACAGGACGCCATGAAGGACGGCAAGGGGGGGGGGGGCGTGTGGGGAGCAGGCGTGGGAGCTGAGCGGGGGCTGCCCGGGGTCTGGGTGGATGATGGTGCAGTCAAAATCAGGAGGACCCCACGGAGGGGTCTTGCCCAGTACGGCTCTGCTGGTGCAGCCGAGTCTGGGGGAGGGCGGGGGTGGCCAGGACTCAGGGAGACGGGCAGTGGTCATAAGGCTGGTTCTGAAAACACGGAGCTGTGGCCCCATCAGAGGAGGCTGTGCTGAGGATATGGCCCCGCCTGGGTCCTAGGACAGCACAGGCGGGCGACCGGTGTGCCTGGGACGCGTCCTCCTTGTTCTGGGGCTGCGGTGGGCGGCACTGGGGATCCCCCCGTGTGGGCCAGAGTCTGTTCCGGCTCCTGTGCCTTCCCCCCACCTGGCCACCCCGCCTGGCCCTGCCACTTCCCCCTGGGGGACGAGCTGGGCTCCGACCGTCTGCTCTGTCCCCATTTCAGCTGATGAAGAGGCCCCCGATTACGGCTCTGGCGTCCGACAGTCAGGAACCGCCAAAATCTCCTTTGATGACCAGCATTTCGAAAAGGTGCCGTGAAGGGTTTGGCCCGGCTGCCCAGCACGAACGCCGGGGGCAGCTGTGCAGCGGGCCCCGGGGCCTCCTGTGTTCCTTCCTCTCCTTCCGAGCCCCAGGCCTCGTGGCATGTCCCCCTGTCTCTCACTGTCTGACTTGCCCTGACCCACCGGGTCTGCCTCTGTCCTCTCCACGGCCTCTCCGGGGTCTGTATCTGCTTTCCCTGCCTGGGCCTCAGCTGCGGGCCGGGACACAGAGCAGGTGTGCACCCCCAGACGCCGAGATGCCTCCACCCCATCCCCCTTGTCCCCTCCTCGGGCTTGCTCTCCTGGATGCGGTTTCCACCAGCATCTTTGCCCTCTGCCAATATCCCACTGAGAGCTGGAGGGCCCCTCCTCACTGTCTCGACATCAGGTGCCGGGCTGCCCCTGGCCCGGTCCTCCCTCAGAGGAAAGTGCTTTCCACCTGGGCTCCCCTTTCTACTCTCAGGCCAGAGGGTGGAGGAGGGGGAGGGTCCTGCTCAGGGCCCCAGACCGGGCTTAGCTCACAGGCCAGGAGGCTCCTTCCCTCTCCTTCTTTGGCTCTTTCCTAACCTGCCCCCACCTGGCCACCCGTCACCCCGCCTGAACTGCTCCCCCGCTTTCCCACTGCAGCCAGCACAGGCCACGGCAGCCTAGGAGAGGCCGAGGGAGGTGGGCGCCGTCTAGGCGGGGGCAGGTCTGCAACGCGGGTCCACAAAGGCCCTGACCCGACTCCGGGGCCCTCAGTGAGCCAGAGTGGCCTCACCTGGAGCCGGCTCCCCCTGACTCTGGTCCCCAACCCACTCAGTTCCAGTCCGAGTCCTGCCCCGTGGTGGGGATGTCCCGCTCCGGGACCTCTCAGGAGGAGCTGCGCATCGTGGAAGGTCAGGGCCAGGGTGCGGAGGCAGGGCCCTCGGCCGATGAGGTCAACAACAACACCTGCTCAGGTAGGTTGCCACACCTGCCCCGGGGCCTGGGGCACTGGGACACGGCCCCCGCCCCGCTGTGGCCGGGGAGGCTGTGAGACCTTTCCACGAGAGGACACCGCGTGGGCTCCCCGCCTGACGCCGGGCTCCAGGCCTCTGGGGTGCTGCCACGTTGCTCTGCCCTCGGCCCCCTGCAGCCGTGCCTCCAGAAGGCCTCCTCCTAGACAGCCCTGAGAAAGCCGCCCTGGACGGGCCCCTGGACGCCGCCCTGGACCACTTGCACTTGGGCAGCACCTTTACCTTCCGTGTGACAGTCCTGCAGGCGTCCAGCATCTCTGCCGAATACGCGGACATCTTCTGCCAGTTCAAGTGAGCCCCGGCACCCCCTGCTGGCTGGGGACCAGGGCGGGCACCTAGCACCCCGGTGACCCCCCACCAGTCCCCGGGAATGGGTCCCCGTCCCGTCTCCTGCACCCAGCCGAGCATCTCCTCTAACTCTGCAGCTTCATCCATCGCCACGACGAGGCCTTCTCCACGGAGCCCCTCAAGAACACGGGGAGGGGCCCCCCGCTGGGCTTCTACCACGTCCAGAACGTACGTCCTGAGCGCCCCCGCCTCCGCCCCCCTCCCGGGTCTCTGGCTTTGCGGGGCCTCCCCGGAGCTGAGCCGAGCTGTGGTCACTCTCCGTCATACCATCTCCCTGTCCTGAGCCCCAGCCGTGAGCTGGCGGTGCCCGGGTGTGAGGGCACGGGGCCTCTGGTGCCAGGCAGGGCCGTGGAGGCTGCTGCTGGACAGTCGGGGCCTCGGTGGGCTGCTACCTGGGGGGTAGGGGCAACCCGGGGAGCAGATAGGAGCACGGGGAGTCCGGGGTGCCCCATGTGGCGCCGGCCTGCTGCCGGGGAAGAAGAGAGAGAGGCAGGGCACACTGAGGGCATCGGAGAGGTCGGGGAAGCTGCAGGTGGGGCACGTCCCAAGCTTGGCTGTGGGAAGAGCGGGACTCGGACTGGACTGGCTCCGTGAGGCAGGAGAATGTGGCCAGCCAGCCGGGTAGCGGGGGGGAGATGCGCTCCACTTGGCCATAATGAATGCCGCCGGGGGGCAAGGCCTCGGGTGCCCGCCGAGGAGCGTGGATTTGACCCTGAGCGGTGCGGCCTGTGGGTGCGGGCTGTGTGGCCCAAGCAGTCACAGGCCCCGCACTCAGAAGGGCCCCACGGACCGGCCCGTGCTGATGCTCAGCAGGGAGCTAGTGATTTCTCAGCCAGGGAGGCCGGGCCAGGGGTGAGGGTGTGCAGCCTCCGTTCCTGGGCTCCGGAGCAAAGCCCGCGCCCTGGCGGCCTTGACAACCAAGTTACTGCCTCTCGGCCTTGGAGGCCGGAAGCCCGAGATGGAAGTGTGGGTCGGGTCGTGCCTTCGGTGACCGTGAGGGGGACTCCGTGCCGGGCCTCTCCTGGGCGGACAGATGCGGTCTTCTGTCTGTGTCCTCACACAGCCCTCCCTCCGTGCCTGTCTTTGTGTCATTTCCCCTTTTCATGAGGACAGTCATAGCGCGTGAGGGCCGCCCTAATGCCCCCATTCTAACTTGGGATTATCTCTCTGAAGAGTCTAGGTCCAGCCACAGGTCCTGGGCATTCAAGCTACAACATAGGAATTGGGGGAGGGGGGCACATAACTCTCAAGGAGTGGGCGAGGGCCCGGGAAGGCTCAGGCCAGGCCACAGACCTTCGTCCCCTTGCCAGCCCGGTGTTCTGAAAGGGCACTCTCGGGGGTCCGGCCTTCAGGGGCGTGATGGGAGGGGAGGCGGGGGCAGGAAGGACCCGGTGAGGAGTGTCACCCCTTCGTGGGCAGAGGTCGGGCGCAGCCGCGGTGTCCAGTCTGGTTCTCCGCAGAGGCTGAGCGCTTACCTCTGCAACCTTCCTCCCCTCTCTTGACTGTGGCGTGGCTGCGGCCTCCTGCCTGCTCTCCTCATCCACCAGATCGCAGTGGAGGTGACCAAGTCCTTCATCGAGTACATTAAGAGCCAGCCCATCGTGTTCGAGGTCTTCGGCCATTACCAGCAGCACCCGTTCCCCCCGCTCTGCAAGGACGTGCTCAGGTCAGCAGCCCTGGGTTGGGGGGGGCTAGGGGCCCCCTTCCCAGACCTCATCCAGCCCCCGCAGGGCATGGGCCCTCTCCACCTCCCAGCCAGCGAAGCCGGCCTTGCCCCAGACAGGCCTGGTAGGGCGGCTACAGGACCCATGGGCCTCAGATGCCCGTTTTCCCTGATGATGGGGCGGCTGGTTACCCAAGGTCAGTGGGACCCAGAGCAAGTCAGAGACCTCCCTTCGGGGATGTTTCTGAAAGCAAGTTTCTTAAAGAGTACTGCCGTCTGGGCCCAGACCCCTGCGGGTGTGGGCCATGTCCCCAGGCCAGGGAAGCGGGCGTTGGGCGGGAGGACGGCCCGGGTGGCCCACGGGCAGACGGCTCCTGCTGCCTGCTCACCACTCCACCGCCCAGCTGTCCCTTCCCCCGGAGTCCTTGGCCCCCAGACTGAGTGACGGAATACCTTTCTGTCTCCCTCATCCCACGTGACCTCTGGGGGACCCGGAGCTAAGTGGGGCGTCCCGGGTGGTAGAGGAAGAGAAAGGCCGTGAGAGGTACTGGTTCCAGGGGGGGTGGCCCCAGGAGCCTCGTCTGTCCTCGGGAGGGCCAGGGGAGGCTCTGTCCTGGAGGCCCCTGGATGGAGAACCGGCATTCTCGCCCCGTTCTCCTGGACTCGTGGGACCACCCGGGCAAGGTCTGGGGTCCCCAGGGGCCCTCCTTCCCCATCCAGGCTGCTGGAGGGCCCGAGCCCGGGGCCCTTCCCAGGCCCTGGGAGGCAGGGGTCAGGCGGAGGCTTGGAGCGGACCGTGTCGTGACCGCCCTCTGCCAGCCTCCTGCCCTTGGCTCCCTCTCCAGCTGGAGGGTCCCAGAGACGCCACCTGCAGCCGCCTCACAGAGGCTCTTCTTCCTCCACAGCCCCCTGAGGCCCTCACGCCGCCATTTCCCGAGGGTCATGCCGCTGTCCAAGCCAGGTAGACGGAGCCCTCCTGAGTCCACCCCCGGGGGAGGGAGGTGCCCACGCTACCCTGGACGCGTTCCCCGCCCCGGGCCTCCTTCCTGAGCGTGCCCCCAGGACGTGGCAGGTCAGGTCTCCCATCAGTGGCTGCCTCTCTCTCTCTCCCGTCCTCCCCCAGTGCCTGCCACCAAGCTCAGCACCCTCGCGCGGCCCTGCCCGGGGCCCTGTCACTGCAAGTACGACGTGCTGGTCTACTTCGAGATCTGTGAGCTGGAGGCCAACGGCGAGTGAGTCCCAGCGCCTGCCGGGGTCGGCAGGGCTCCAGGTGGTGCACGGGGGCACTCTGGGCTCCGGGCCGGACCGCCTCACCTCCGCCAGAAGGCGGGGCCGCTTTCCCTGCCGTGGCCCTTCGGCTCCTCGGGCGGGGGGGGGGGGCCCGCGTGTGTGTGCGGGGCGGGGCCTTGCCTCACGCATCTCTCTCTTCTAGTTACATTCCTGCGGTGGTGGACCACCGCGGTGGGATGCCGTGCATGGGGACCTTCCTGCTCCACCAGGTGCGGAGCGCTCCCCGGCCCTGCCCGCCTCGTGTCCCTGCCCCGCCCCATGCGTCCCCCAGACCATCTGACCGTGTCCTCTCTCCTGGTGCCTGGCAGGGTATCCAGAGACGGATAACCGTGACACTGCTGCACGAGACGGGCAGCCACATCCGCTGGAAGGAAGTCCGAGAGCTTGTCGTGGGTGAGTGGGACGGGTGGGGGCTGCCTTGGGGGCTGGGGCTGGGCCGCTGGGAGCCATGGGGCCCCACCCTCTCCGCCCCCCACCGTCCCGGCCAGGCGGCTGACTGCTAATCACAGCTCTGCCCCTGATGCCGTGTGACTCTGGCTAAGTCGCTTAACCTCTCTGTGCCTCTCTGAAGAGCCTAGGAAAGGAAAGCTCGGACTAGGGTGATGATTCCAAATTTCTGTGCAATCACCGTGTCAGCTCACCAGGGCTGCCGTGACACAGCACCACAGACTGGTAGCTTAAACAGCAGAAAACGATCCTCCCGTAGACCTGGGGGCCTGAGTCTGAGGGTGTCAGCAGGTGGCCATGCCCCCTCTGAAGCCCGTAGGGGAGAGCCCTTCCTGGAGGTTGGTGGGGAATGTCTGTCCCTCTTCGGCTTGGGGACCCGCCAGCTTTAATGCTTCAACTTCACGTGGCCTCTTCCTATAGAAGAAGCTACATTCAGGCCTGCTTACTCCATCGTGACCCCATCTCAACTGATTATACTTGCCGAGACCCTGTCACCAAATAAAGTCACGTTCTGAGGTCCTGCAGGTTAGGACTTCAACACAACCGTTTTGGGGGGAGGACACAGTTCAGCTCCTGGTGGTCACCACGGATCTTAGACGGTTTTCTTCCACGACCTCATGCTGTGAACTCTTTGGTCTACTAGAAGAGTTTCTTGGCCGAGCTATAGACTTTTTCCAGTTTTCACTCAAGGACATGGACACCTGTCCGCCCCTGCCCTTCCTGGATTGGTGGATCCCTCTGGAAACCCCATCCTGGGCATTTCTGTGGCCAGAAGGGTAGCAGCTGCAGGGTGCCGTCCCTGGGGCTTGGAGAGGGGGTCCCAAGGGTGCAGGAGCGGGGACATGACCGTGAGACCCATCGTGCTATGCCCGAAAGCGCAGAGCTGTGGACAAGGAGGTTCTGGGGGCCCAGGACAGATGCTTTCGTTTTAGACATCTCGTATCTTTTTTCACTCACACGGTGAAAGGCTGGAGCAGGCGAGCCAATCCTCATCTCAGGTGTCGTTTAGGGCCGGCGTGGACAGTGAATCGACTTAAGGAGTTAGCAGACACCCGGCCGGCGCGTGGACCGGATGCAGGCAGGAGTGTGTGTCCCGTGTGTGGGCAGAGAAGGGGACCTGGTGAGAGCATCTGGGGAGATGCTGGTGTGAACGCCAAGGCCCCCGCTCCGCCTTGGGGTGCTTGGGCGGTGCCTCTCTGGGCTTCATACGCCGCACGGACCGGCGAGCGGGCTGGGAGCGAATGGGCTCCGGGCCCCGTCGCCCTTGCAGGCGGAGCACCTGGCCAGGCTCGGAAGGCGCAGAGAACCTCTGCGGAGGCGCGCGCTCCAGGGGCCGAGCAGGGATGAGGCCGGCACTGCGGCGAGCTTTCTTCTGGCAGCCGAGCCGTGGGGCACGCCACCTCCAGCCACGGGGGCACGTGCTGGAGAGCGCTTCTCGGGGAGCCCACACCTGCCTTCTCCCAGAGCCCAACAGTTGCAAGAAGGTTCCAGGAAGTGGGGCCAGCAGCCGCCGCGTGTTCAGACACAGAATCCTGGCCGGGTCCCGGGCTCTGCCTCACCTCTGTGTGGGGGGCGGCACACAGGGCTTGAGGAGAAAATGCAGCGCGCGTGTGTCCCCTGAAGAAGCAGAGTATTCAACCTAATGTTACCAGGGCAGGAAATTACTAACGGGGTCGCCAGCGGGATTCCTGACTCGCAGCGGCTAGGACCACCACCCCAGTGTGGGCGGCTTAGAGGCTTCTGTTGGAAATGTGCCCTGCAGGGAGAGATCTGGGGCCCAGATAGTGTCCTCCCTCCCTCCCTCCCTCCCTCCCTCCCTTCCTTTCTCTCTTTCTCTTTCATTCTTTCTTCAAGGGAAAATCTCTCCTTATCTTGCTAAGATTTTCTTTTCCAACGAGAGCCTGTACATTCTAGGCCGAGTGTTTGGAATCTATCAGTTGGGTGCAAGAGAGACAGACCTTGAGAGTGTCTAAGCTGAAAAACTCCAATTACGGGAGGAACGGCGGTGGAGTGATCCACAGGGCACTCACGCCCGGGCTGGTAGCAGACCTTGCCATGGGCTCCCTGTCTGGCGCTCTTGTGGGCACGTGGGGAACCCGCTCCCTGACGCAGTGTCACGGTTCCGGAGGCCCCGCCCAGGCAGGGACCCGGCACCCCCTTCCGTTATCCTGAGAGGTGACTGAGCCCATGGCCTTTCCCTTAGGTCGGATTCGAAACACACCAGAAACTGATGACTCCCTGATCGACCCCAACATCTTGTCTCTCAACATCCTCTCCTCCGGCTACATCCACCCGGCCCAGGACGACCGGTGAGTCCCCTTGGGGTGACAATGGGTTCTGTTCCCAGCTCCCTGGAGACAGGGTCCAGGTCAAGACCCAGGGCGTGCCCTCAGCCGACCTGGCTTTGTAGGGTCCGGTACGCGTCCAGCCCCGAAACTTTTGGGCCTTCCTTTCCGACACCTCCGGAACAGGTGCGGGACGGGCAGGCTCATGGCCTCCACGTCCTTTGGTGTGTTTGTCTACACGTTGTCCCATCACTGGCTCTCGCATTCGTCCGGCCTGTCCATTCGGTCACCTGGCGGAGGGGCAGCGGGACTCGGGGGTTGGTGAGCTGGGTTCTCTCCTCAGGAGTTTTGGGGGGGCAACACGGGGTGGTGCGCAGACAGGCGGTCCTGAATCTCCCCGACCACACTGCTGTGGGTGAGTCTGGGGCTCTGGCCGGGGTCCCTCGGGCTGGGGGGCCTGGATCCGCCAGGCACCATTTGGCACGCGCTCCTTGTCGCTGGGCTATTCCTTTCCGAGCTTGTGGTTAATGGCCAAGACTCAGCAGCCCGGGGAACCCCAGCCCCGCCACATCTGGGACAATGGTCGGGGTATGCAAGCCCCCAGGGACACCCTTAGCAGCCCCCGACAAGACAGCCTTGTTGAGGCTTGCCAGAGGCGAGGGGGCGGGAGGCGAGGGGTGGTATCTGAGGACTGACGGGGCGGGGGGCGGGGGGAGGGCAGCTCCTAACTGCCGAGAGCTGCCCTGTTGGGGGGGACGTGGGCTTGGCTGTGTCTGAGATGCTGCTTTCTAGGGACTTGGGGGAAGGATGAGGTGTTCCAGAGTGCTGGATGGCTGCTGCGGAGGGCTAGACCTGGCCCAGAGGCAGAAGCTGAGAGTTGACCCTTGGAGTTCACACTCTGGGTGTCCTCACGGGTTCCTGTGACAGCGTCTGCAGGAAAAACTTTGAAGGCTTGGTGTGCTCGGAGGGGACAGGGGACCCCACACTTGCAATGAAGGCTGGGGTCCGTAAACGTAAAAGGACCTGAGGGAGTCGTCCTATCCTGACTCCCGGGTCCAGATGGAGCCTGGGTTCATCATGGACACCCCAAGGAGTGGGCTGTAAGGGAAGCACCCTCAGTGTGGGCAGTTGGGGGGCTAGGAGTCCAAGACCCCCAGAGGGGCAGCCGTGACTCCTAGCCCTGCCCAGGAGCCTCCCAGAAGAAACTCCGCTGCCCTCATGTCCAGGGGAGGGAGGAGTAGGATGCAGAGTGCCGAGGGGGTTCTCATGATGTGCAGGCCGGGGGGCCCCTCTGAGGCTGTGAGAATGTGTCAGAGGAGGCCTGATCCCCGGCCACATGGGGCTGCCTGCAGGGATGTGGGGACCGGGACCCCAGAGGGGAGGGTGGCCCCGGGACCGCCTGTGCCATTGGGGAGGGGTCTGTCTGCCATGCTGAGTGACCTCAGCATCCCCCTGGCCTCTGACCCTTCCTTTGCCCAGGCAACTTCTAGCTTTGGGGGCAGAAATGGAGTGGGGGCAAAACCAAGCGAGTGGGGGTGGGTATGTTCCCTCTGGGCCTCCCTCCCTGCGCGGTCTCTCTACACTGAGGACCGTGTTTCTGGGTCTTTCCATTGTCCCGCCAGCCTGGCCGAGGGGCCCTTGGCTCTGGGCTACGTCCCAGGGTAGCTTAGGAGGCTGTGGCTCCCGGCTGGACCTCGGGTCAGCAGGGCTGTAGCTAAATAGGTCCACCCCTGTCCCTAGAGGCCCGAGGACCCGTCACTGATGGGGCTTTGGTTCCGCTTCCTGGGAGCTGTGGCAAGTGAGGCTGGCCTCGGGGCGGCTCTGGGGTCCACTGGCCCTGTGTCTTAAGTCAAAGCCCTGGTCCAAGGGTAGAGGAAGGCCCGTCCACGGGGCAGGACCATAGACCTTGCCAGAGCTGCTTGGGCCTCAGGCTTGGCTCCTGCCCACGCCAGTATAGCCCCAGGACTGCTCTGACCCCCCCAGCTTTGCCCCCAGCAAAGTCCCGGGGACCCTCCTCACCTGGCGGCCCAAGGCAGGTGCCATCCCGAGGCTCCGCTGGCCAAGCCAGCGGGCCCCTTCCCGAGAATCTTCCTCTTCCCCAACCCTGGCTGATGTCCTCAGAGCCCTGTGATGGGCCGCTTGGGTGCGCCCTGCTCCCCCTGGAGACTCTGGGGCTCAGAGGCCCCAGGCCTGGCTTGGGCCGAGGGGCTCGGGCTGTCCTCATGCTTTGCCACGACCTCGGCCTCCTCCGCTGCAAGGCCCCACGCTTTGCTCAGAGCGGGCCTGTTGCCGCAGACGGCTGCTCTCCCGCTGCCCCTCCCCTCGCTGCCGCTGCCCTGCCGCCCCGCTGCCCGCTGTCCCGCCGCCCTGCCCCGCCGCCCTCACTAACCTGTGATTGTTTGTGTTTTGCAGGCAGTTTCTTGATTCGGACATGCCTAGGTATCATTTGTGCCCCCTTGGTTTTATTCCAGCCTCTCTCCTTCCCCAGACCCACAGCCCTGACTCTTTATTTCGGCTTTTTGATCCCTTCTACACTCGCTCCCCTTTCCCTCCTGTTTCTCCGTTTTCTTTCGTTTTCTTTCCTCGGAATACTTTTTTGATTTTCTCTGTTGCTTCCTCTTCCCACCCCCTCCCTCCCTCCCTCTTGGCTGAGCTCCTTCCCCTACTCTTGATTTTGGCTGCATCCGTAGTTTCCCGCCCGCCCCTCCGTAGACACTGGCTGGCCTCCTGCTCCTCCCACCCCTGAGCCTTGCCCGCCCCGCGCTGACCCCCCCCTGCCGGAGCAGGAGCCGGGGCCCCCCCCCCCCCCCCCCCGCATGCAGGCTGGCCGCACCAGCCCCACTCCCTGCAAGGTGAAAGAGAAAAGGGGGAGGAGGGGCCGGCGCTGGGCCCGGGACGGGAGGGCAGCCGGGTACCGGCCCTGCAAGGGACCTCTGCACCATACCCTCCGCTGCTGGGCGGTTGCCCGGCCAGGCTGGCCACCACACACCCTGTTTGCAAGTAGGTGGGCGGTGAAGTTGGGAAGGGCCCAGTAGGTCTCGGGACTCACCCGGTGGCCCCAGGTCCAAACCCCCCGGAGGCGGGGGTTCCCGGGCAGGGGATGCCGTCTCTGAGTTGAGTGGGGCCCCTGCCAGTGCCCACCGGGTGCAAGGGTCAGTGAGGCCCTGGGCACGGACAGCCTCAGAGTTCCTAATCAGGACCGTCCCTGAGACCCAAGTCTGTTCTGGGCAGAGGGTCAAGGTCGTCTCCCTCCGGGTCCTGTGGATTGTGGTCAGAGCTCCGTGGTGGCGGTCTCGCAGGACAGCCGTTTTGAAAGGCGAAGTGAGCGGTTGGAAGGCTTCCCGCAAACGTTTGAGCCTTGAGGCTGCATGGTAGCTTGAGCCGGGTAGGGGTGGTGCCTGCTCCTCTTCTGGACGGAGCCCCAGGGTGGGGCAGGGGGCGCGGCAGGACTGAGTCATGGCCGTGAGGGTCACTGTGAGTGTGACCCGGGCACTTGGAGCCTAGGCCCCGGGGAGGGCGGCAGGCTGTGGTCCCGCCGGTGTGACCCTCGGGGCGCACTCGAACATCGCACCTGTTGGATGAACCCATCTTTTCCAGAGCCTTCTGCGGGCCCTCTGGGGACCCTGTCAGGGGAGAACTAGGGTGGCAGTGGCTGCCCCAGAAAAGGGGGCACGGCCGTGCCGGCCGGAAGGGACCCGTCTCTCCGGGCCATGCGCTGGAGGAGGTCGGGCGGGGAGCCGGGCTGGTTAAGGCCGTGTCGCTGCTCTCAGAAGGCTCTGGGCTGGGAGCCCCTGGCTCGGGTTCCTCCCCTGGGCGGGACCCAAGTTAAGGGCTGTTTCCTTGGCGAGTGGAGACCTCCAGGCCGGTCGGTGTGAGAGCTCGAGGGGGCGTGACTGTTTTGTCCACGTTCGAGCTGCCACAGCCAGCGCGGTAGGATAGAGGGGCGCTTGCCGGTCCTCAACCCGCCCCCCAGACACAGACCTTCCGGAAGGTTCTGGGGAGAGATAATGCCCCGTGGCCAGGGGGAGGTGTGGCACCAGGAAAGGGAACCAGTTTTCCTTTCCGGCAGGGCTTTCTTTGCTAGCCCCCCAACGTCATGAGGCCCTCACCCCTGCACCTGAGCGGGGAGCACAGTCCCCCCAGTTCCAGAAGAGGGCTCACTGGCCCCAGCGGGCTTGGCCTATAAGAGGAGGCCTAGGGCACTGATAGCGAAATGGGGGTCAGAGCCCCAAGACCCGGACTTGTGCCTTCCCCGCAGGGCCCGGCTCTACGGGGCAGGGAGCCACCGCGGTGGCGGGACCGGGGACTGGCGCGACCTTGGGAGGTGGTGGAGGGAGGGTCTTGTCCCACGTGTGCGGCGTAGGGCGGGGACCCGGGACAGCCTGGCAGTGCCCTCCTCTGGCCGAGTGAGTGTGGACAGGTGGCAGAGCCTTCGGGAACCTTGTTCTCCTTCCCCCTTAGAAAGGGGATAATTTCGCCCCTGCCTGAGTGGCCGTGACACACACGGGCTGCGACGTGAAGCTCTGGGCAGGGCGGCTTGCACACAGCTTTGCACTGTGGGTCTCCTGCTTGTCACCCGTCACCTGTCACCCTCGTCCCCTCATCCCTCACCCCCGACCGCTTAGCCCTCACCCCGCATCCCCTCACCCCTCACCCCTGACCACT